GACGGGGGCGGGGCTCCCGGGGGACGGGGTCAGACGGGAGCGGGGCTCCCCGGGGACGGGGGCGGGGCTCCCGAGTCCGTGCCGACGCGCTGCGCCGTGCACTTGCCTGTCATGACGCGCTCGGGCTGTGAGAGCGTCCTGACAGACCGCACGGAGCCGAGGCCCCCCGAAGTGCCCGCCGCGGTTCAAACAACGTGGCCGTGGCGGTAAGGGCGACCGTGAGTGGCGAGAGCAGGGGCCAGCCGAGGGCCGCGGGCGCTCACGTCTCAGCCTCTCCGCCCGGGGCGCGCCCCTCCAGCCCGCCGGCCCACGGCGCACGCGCTGCGCCGATGACTGGTCCCGGGCCAGCCAATGGGCGTCTGCTTTCTAGCCAGGTGGGCTCACGCGGCAGCCGATTGGCCCGCCGGACCACTGGGCGGAGCGGCGCCCGGCGGCGCGGCGCCCACTCACCATCCACGACGGCTGGGCCAGTGCGACCGCGGGTCGCTCCCGCCGGGCTCGCCGACCCCTGCAGGGAAAGGAGGCCGTGGGACCCCGCCGCGCCCGCGGGCCTCTGGGCTGCTTCCGGGGCGCCCCGGCGGGCGCTGGCAGAGGTGCAGCGTGTGAGGCCACGGGCTGCTTTCTGCCCCGCGTGCGCCCACCGCGGACGAGGCGTCTCCGCTTCTCCGCAGCCTCGGGCTCGCAGCTCGCCCCGAAGGGCGCCCACGGGCGGGAGCACAGGCCGCCCGCAGGCTCTGCCCGCCTCTGGCGGTGGCTAGGGCGGGGAGCCGCCAGCACGTGTGCGGGTGACCGGCACCCGCTGGCCGCTGTGCCCCGACCACGTCTTCTGCTAAACACTCCAAACACCACCCTGCACGTGTGTGGGGTCATCGCTGCTGTCAACAGCGCAGGACATCACCCAGGAGCCTGGCGCCGGCCTGCCTGGTGGCCGGTGACACCCAGCCCACAGGCCCCGCGGGTGGACAGAGCAGGGGAGAGGCTGTCCCGCACGCCCGTGACACGTGGGCCCACGCAGGGAGCACCGCGGCCACCCACTCCTGACATGCCTCTGTCCCGCGGCCGCCCGAGCCCCGTTTCCATGTTTGTGGTCAGCCAGTCTCACAAGCACCTTGCCAACCCGGCCCGCCTCGGCCCAGAAAGGGAGCGGCTAGGTCCTGTGCCTTCCATGGAAGTGGGCTTTCGGAAAGCACATCTCTGGCAGGCCACGGCCCTCCTAGGGGCCCCTGCTCTCTGAGGGGTGCAGTCCCTGCCCAGCCGGGGCCACCTGGGCACCCTGCACACGGGGCTCCTCGTGAACAGACATGGAGCTGTCCCCAGACCCAAGGGCCCATGGCGGGAATCACTTTGCAGCCCTTCCCCTTCCCCCAGGGGCTCACAGACTTCATGCTCCCTCGCTCTGCCCGCCTCTCAGGCCGCCACATTCTTGAGCTCTGCTGGGTGCCCTGGCCCCCTGCCCCTCTGCTGTGTCCTTCAGCAGTCTGGGCGACACGATGTCACCATCACACTCGTCAGTGCCAGGCACCCGGCAGGTCGCTGCACTCCCACCCCCAAGGCCCCGTTCCGCTGCTTCCCTGCCAGCACGAGCGAGCCAGAGAAGAGGGCTGTCGCCCCTGGAGGCTCTGGAGACCCCGGAATGTTGGGGCAGAGGGAAGAAGCTCCGTGGCGATGAGCCCCCACAGCCGCCCTGCCCCCACTCAGGGAGGGTCCTGCAGGCCCAGAGCTTTGAGGGCAGAAGGGAACCTGCCAGCAGGCTCCCCAGGCCTAGTCCACGGAGTCTCAGGGCGCCCCCCACCCCCACCACCTGGACTCCCACAGAGGACTGTAGCGGTCCTGCTCTGGCCCTCACCTGCTGTCCCTGGTGCCACAGCTATGTAACATGGACTCCAGAGCAGGGCTCCTAGCAGCCAGAACCGCCACCAAACAGAGCTGACCACCCAGAGATAAGAGCAGAATCATACCTAAGGCCCCCCCCCTTTCTCTCTCGTCCTGCCACCCCCGCCAGGGCCCACCCCCACCAGCCCAACTACGCCCAAGGCCTTGCTAGTTCCCACCCAAGCCCTCCCAGAGGCACACCCCCCCCCCAAGCCCACAGCCCTCCCAGAAAGCGAAGGGTGTCCGGTGCTCCCAGGGTCACCAGCCCGCCCCGTCCTCGGCCTCAGAGCAATGGAGACCTTGTCCACACTCAAGACCCACAGAGCCGTCTTCTTTATAAACTCCCCACTGGCACAACCCGAGCCCCCACGGCAGGGCAGAGGGACAGCACGCGCCCCAGAGAGCCGTGGAGACACTGGCGGCGGGGGCCCTGCCCGGTCCGCGGCAGGCGCGGCAAGTCCACACGCCCACGTGCACGCAGCTCTCCAGCCACCTGCCCGGCGCAGCGCTCCGGGAAGCGAGCTGGTCTCCAGGAGACCGACTCGCTCCGGAAAGGGGGCAGCTGTGGGGTGGCAGGGCCGTGGCTGCTGGCAAGGCCTGGGTTCTGGGTTCTGGGTGACATCCTCTGCGACGCTCAGCCCGGTTAACTCGCTACGTCGTCACCGTGCACACAGCGCGCGGCCCGCGCTTCCTGGGACGGCTTGCTCACCGGCACCGGACAGCCGCTCAGAACCACCTGCCTGGCGGCCCGTGGACCGGGACCTGGGCCATCGCTGGAGGGCGCGCTGCAGGGTGCTGCGGGGGGGGTGGAGCACTGGGCCCCAGGCTGGGGGCTCCAAAAATAGCCTCCTGCAGGGAGTGACCCCCACACCGAGGAAGGGCCAGGGACCCCACTCTCGGCTGCACCGGGGACGGGGACACTTACTGGGCCCAAAGGGGGCAGTCAGGGAGTCGGCCTTGGAGCCCCAGTGCCCCAATGACCTTGGACCCCCTTCCCACATCCACAACCCAGGCACAGGACCCCTGCAGCCCCACCCTGAGAGCCAATCACCAGCTACAAGGTTTCAAAGACTGATTTATGGAGGAAAGACCGCTCGATCGCCTGACCGCGTTCCGGCAGCAGCAGCAGCGCCGGCCCTGGGCACCCCCCCACAGCAGCGAGCCCGGTCCCCGCCCACCCGGGGTTCTCCTGGGTAGGCGCAGAGAGCGCACCCCCACCAGCCCCACCCCCTCGGGCTCTGTGGGCACCTGGTCCAGCTCAGGCCCGATGGAAGTGGGGCTGGCTGGGGTGCATGCCCAGCATGCCCTGGGGGCAGGCAGCAGATGGAGCCCTGGAGAGATCGGGGGGGCAGGCGGGTCTCCAGCGCTGGTGCAGGGGCGCGGCTGCTCTGCTCCTGCACCCCTGCAGGAGACCCGCAGAAAACACACAAGAAGCCAGGGCCTGACTAAAAGCGCAAGACTGGAGGGGATCTCATGCTGGGGGGCCAGTGAGAGGCCCAAGCCGAGCCCCTCCTGCCCGGCCTGCCCCTGGGCAGCCGCCAGCCCATGAGCCCACCCTCCGGGGCACTGAGAGCCACCGCAGCAGAGGCGAGAGGGCAGAGGCGGCGTGGGCTGCGAGGGCGGGGGGCTCCTGCCGGGAGACAGCAGAGCCGCTAGGCACCGCCAGCCCCTCACGGAGCTAAGTGAGGCCCCTGGCCACAGCCGGCGAAAGGGCCGGCCCGGC